AAAAAAAAAAAGCACCCTCGTTACTGGTACAAGAAGGCCTATCAGCTGATCTGTACAGGTGATTTCCCACTCGAAAGTCTGAAAAGTGGGTTTAATCAGTGAACGACATGGTCAAAGTCTCAACTGAAAAATTCTATTTGGACATAGAATAGTTTCAATTATAATAAATAACAAAGACTTACCTCAGGATCTGCAGTTTACAGTTTGGGTGCTTCAAGGCTGTACATAATGACTGTACCCCAGTATAATTTATATCACTCTTCTTCAGGTCCAGGTGTATCAAATTCTGGTTCTCAGTCAAAGAACGAAAGAGACCCTTGCAACCATCAGGGTAAGAAACACTTCTCAACCTTCAGGGAAAAAATACACAGAGGGCATGGTGTTAGGCAATCATTTCTCTCACAGGCCCCTCTAGATCTTTGTTTCTGAATCCAATTGGATATATTATCTAACTGTGCTGCCAACTCTTACCTTACTCTAGGTTTCTCCTTTCAAAGTTTGGTGAAGTGAAATTACTTGCTATGACTCTGTAAGTAAGGGTAGAGGACTCTAACCCAGGCATTGGCTAGCTTTGCTATTCTACTGCGTTTAACGAAGAGCCATGTAAGAACCAGGAACAGGTGACCCCAAGGCTGTCGAAAAACAAGAGCCACCAGCAGATTCCTGCCTGAAGTGGTGGAGGCAGTAGGTACAGCAGAGATTGCAGCACCAAGACCGAGTGCCAGGAGAGAGGAGCTGTGCTGAGACCAGTGGTGGGCTTCGCAGCCCTTGGAACAAGTAACACCGAGTGCCGTCAGACAGGAGGCTAGCTTGCAGAGTAGGGTGCCCTGTGGCCATTTATCAGTGCCAAAGGAGGCCAAGCAGGGCAGAGCCCAAGGACCGTGCTTACCAGCATGGTTAAAAAGAGGCACTTCAGACATAAAGGGCTATATCTCCTGAATGCTTTCTGACCCTGACTTATGGTAACCTGTCAGCATCCCTAGTAAACCCCATAATAATGAGGACTGTGAGTTCTCTGTAGCCGTTGCAATAGGTTCTCAAATTCAGCAGAAAAGTAGAGTAGGGTGGAGGGAAGGTTGGTGTCAGAGTTGGACATAGAAGGTCGGAGGATAGATGCATGTCAGATCTCTCCCCCAAAAGCATCTGCATTGGGCAGATGTGGAGTTGGGCTCCTTGTGTTGGTGGAAGAGGTCAGACATGGCCCCCATCATTTCCTCACAAGGTCAGGGAATAAAATCAACTTTCAGACAGTTCTGAGAAAATTGCGTTATAACTTGACTGTTCAATTATATGCTGACAAAGGACATTTTTAACCTTGAAGGAAAAATAGGAAGGCCATACCAGGAAATGGAGAGGAGCCTCTAACTTTTTAATCCCAGGATTGGTTCCCCCAAATAACTGAGAACATTTCAGCATTAGTTCACAAAACTGAAGTTATTTAAATAACCCAAAAGGAGTCCATAGTTCATATCAGCTACTTGGGATTTATCATTAGAAAAACACATGATTGAAAAGTATGCCTGGCCATCCCATAAACTCTGTTATATTTACAGATAGCCCAAAGAAAAAGGTGAAGTTAAACTTGCCATTGTAATAATTCATATTTTCCACCTAATTCAATCTGTGTCAGCTATGCCTAGTTCTTCTATGGAGCTCTCTGCAAACCTTAAATGGTCCTACTGCTCACTAACTATTCAAAAGCTTCCCTTAATGACGCCGTGCCCCTCCCTTTACCCAGCCCCCATCTCCAGTCACCCTCCTAGTCAACACCACAGGGAAACAGAGATTTTACCCGTTTTGAACACTAACCATCACCACATAGTGAAAGTACCTAATACATTCAATAAGGACAAATTAGAAGTACAATCTCACTTGTAAGGAGAGGAGGACCTAAGTAAATAAGGCCACAATAAGGTAGAAAAAACGAAACAGCCTATGTCTCCTCTACCCCCACTCCAAGGTACCCAGACATCCTAAAAGATGACAACTTACCACTCAAGCTAAGGCATTAGCTCTTGTTAAGATTTAGAGAGTGAAAGACAGTGAAGGGACCATGTATGTGGCTGGAGGTGTGTGTGTGTGTGTGTGTGTGTGTGTTGCAGTGGTGGTGCAAGGTGTGTGTGTGTGTTGCGGTGGTAGTGCAATGTGTGTGTGGCGGTGGTGGGGTGGGGGTGCAAGGTGTGTGTGTGCACGGCATGTTGTTTGAGAGCCAGGGGAAAGAACTCCCAAGAGCCCCTTAATCACAACATATACTTATTTACAAGGCCAGTCCTCTAGTTGCTTGAACCCTAAAGTCAGAATTCATTAGAAGCATTATATTCTAAGGAAAACATTTGGCAAGAAGCCTGTTAAGAAGAAAATGAACACTTGCCTTCAGTGCTAACAGAAACAATCTCTAGCATTTACTCAGTGTTCAGTTTGTACTGCTGAGCTCCTATTGGACTGTCATTGCAGAACATTGAGACAGAGGGAAATACGATTAGTTCACTTCCTACTGAGATGCACACACAAATACATCAGTACTTAGAAAAGCAACAGCATACACAGAATCTATGGTAAAACCAAAAAGACTGAAAATAATGACAAACTTTTAGAACTTTCATAGTTTGCTGGTGGGAATACAAAATAGTACTGGGGAAAAGTGCTGGAGAGTTTCTTTAAAAAGTTAAACATACATCTATGGTCCAACAATTACACTACGGTATTAATAAAATAGATGCACACATTATTTACAAAAGAAGACTTGTCCAACATTGTGCATAACAGCCTCATTTGTAAAAGCCTACTGTGGCAGTTACATAATCTTTTGTCAACTTCAGTGAAGGGGTGGAGTCCAGCCTGTCAATTGGGTCATAGCCAATGCGGCCTCTGTGTGGGCATGGCCTTTTCCTGAGGATTCTGGGAACTCCTGTCTTCCTGCTACACATTCTTGATGAGAAGCCACATGGAACTACGCTGATGGAACCAGAACCCTGGAACTGGAGGAGCCATGTGGAGACCCACGTCAGCACTGAGATGCTTCCACCACCACTGGATCCACAAGACTTTCTACCCACTGGCCTGTGATCTTCCCGCATTCGGCATCATTGTATGGTTGTGTGAGTCTAAAAAGGAATTTATGGACTAATATTGGACAGATGGGCTAATATGGGACTTAGGGACTTGATCTGGATAGGGCTGAAATGTTTTATCACTATACAAATGCTCTTTGATATAAAGCTCTTTCTTATGTACATATGAATGTCTATGAATTTGTTTCCCAAGTTCACACTAACGCATCCACAATTGGAAACAACCCCTATTAATTAGAGATGGATAAACAAATTGTAGTCCAGATATACTATTAAATGTTAAGCAGTGACACAAATTGCTGAAACATGGAAAGAGTTTTAAAAACATTTTGGTATACAAAGACACATACAGAAATACATACTGCATGAATCTATTCATTTTCTGGAAACAGATAAAATTCAACTTTGGTGTCAGAAAATTTGAAAGTGATTGTTTAGGACTGTTCAGAATGAGAGTACTGGTCAGAAAGAGATTTAAGAAAAAATTTTTGTGAGATGAAATATTTCTCTCTTATTTTGGATATTTCATAAATGCATACTGTTATCGATTAAACTCTTTCAGCCCAAAATATGTGTTGCAAATCCTAACCTCAATGCCTGTGATTATAATCCCATTTGTGGATGAGGTGTCTCTTATGTTAATGATGGAGGATTAATGTACCATGAATTTGAGACAATCTCTTCTGAGATACAAAAGATTAAACTACAGGCTAGGAAGCAGAGATTGGGGAAGAGAGATGCCAAGCTACTTGCACACTGCCCAGGCACAGAAGTTAAAGAGACAAGGATCTTCTGCCAGAGCCAACAAAGAAACTCTTCCCTTAGAGCTAGTACCCTGAATCTGAACTAAGAGCTTCCTAAACTGTGAGTCAATTTCTGTTTAAGCTACCCATGTGTGGTATTTCTAGTAGAGCACCACTGGATAACTAAGAAAGACACAGTAGCTAAAAGTCAATGAACTGAACATGTACTAGCTGTGCACTGATCAGATGATATTTAGTCTTAAATAAAAATAATAAATGGGGAGAGCACGAACCATGCAGTGCTCTAGAACAGGTCTTCAGAAAGGTTTTGTTGGCCTGTCTGGAATGCCTTAGTTCGGACCCCTTCTTCCTTTATATCACTCCCAAACTTCTAAGAGGGACGTCATCAGCCAGTAGGCTCTTTCGACTCTTTTCTAGAACAAATTAGTTATGGTTCCTGTGTCTCCAAATACTTTTTTCATGCGATTACACTATTTTAGTCAACAAATTCTAAGTATTAGCTTACTGTTGGTTTCTCCCAATAAGCAGGGGTGGGAGTAAAACAAAGAAAGATTGAAATAGCCCCATTACATTTTCTAATGCCAAACTTACAGTAGTTTTTGTAGTCGACAATCTGGACGCTGCAGTTCTCTATAAAGACTCATCACTGCTAAATCATCCAGGAGGCTTTGGAACAGGTCCAGCTCTTTCAAGTATCTGTTTCTATGAAGCATAGAAAAGAGGTCTTGCCAGCAATGAGTAATGTGATCATGATCTAGTTGCCTCAATAATTGGAAAAAGAAAAGACCAATTAGTCAACTTTGGCCCAAGCAGCCCAGAAGACCTATGAGGGTATAAATATACTTTGGACACAGCGAGCATCTCCAGTGCGCTGTAGTATGGGCAGCCTACCTGCATTCTTGGCTTTTGAGAGGGTTTTTTGGTCATCCCTCCAATGGTTCCCCTCTGCCCCATCCATCCCATACACACACACCACCACCACCACCACCACCACCACCACAAAACCTCAAGACTACGATGAAGAACAAAATCTTCAGATAGCCAAAGAACCAATATAAAAATGGAAAACCATATGACCTCAAAGAGTAAGATTAGAATTAGGTAAATATTAGGATTAGGTAAACATTAGGGGACTGTAAGTTAAAAATCCACAGATGTTGAGCTTCAGTTCTATAACTTACTAGTCAAGTCAATTGAGTTTAAACAAGTCAATCAATTCTGAGTGCAAATTTTCTATAAAATAGAAATGCCATATCCCCTTATAGGGCTGTAAGAATCTAATAATTTATTTAGCGAGTTAGTGAAAGTACTCTGTAAACTTAAAATATATATACGAAGAGGGATTTATGGACTAGTATTGGATAATGGACTGGGAAGATTTGGACGGGCTGGGATGTTTTCTTGATATCCAATTACTTCCTGATATAAAGCTCTTTCTTACACATAAAATAAAGAAACATTTTAAAGCTAAAAAAACAAACCCAACCAAACGTATTGCTGTTAGTAGATACTGCCCCGATAAGATGGGGTAAAACTGCTGTATGTGGGGCTTTGAGACTAACTCTTTGCAGCAATAGCCCTTGTTTTCCCCGGAGGAGTGGCTGCTGCTTTCAAACTGTGAGCTTGATGGTTAGCAGTCCAAACACATAACCCCTCCCACCCCCTGCCCCGAGTTTCTATGAACTTGAATATTCTCAACAGGCTCATTTGAAACGAAGGGTAGCCTAATGGTTACAAGTAGAAAGGCTGGAAGACTAGCCCCCAATCCTCATTCAGCTCTGCTTTTCATCTCTATGAGCCTGTTTGTGTCTAAGTCAGATATGATAAGTTCTTGGTACCTTATACATTGTACAACATGGTAACCACTCAATTGTCATTAAACCTAGATTAACCAAATTCTGTATTTCAACAATTCTCCCAGATTTAGATGAGTAGACTTGGGAAAGATGGAGAAAAGGTAGAATAGCATACATAAAATTCAGATGGTTCATTTTTCTTTCAAAAATTGAGCACCTCCTAACACATTTCTCTGTCCACCTCTGACTGCCCAGACAGATACATCAGAGATGAGCCCTTTCATAAACTGAAAAACAAAAGCTAACCTACATCGAGGCCATGGGGAAAGTGAGCTAAGTCATCAGAGTACAGCAGTACACAGGCAACATATGTACACCAGGTTCAGCAGGAAGAAATTGCTAGTCCCTTATTATTCTGGAGGATAGTAACTATACTAACTAATGTGGATGTAGATTACACCATCCCATGATCCACTGAGGTGAAGTGCTCGTTCCTAGCTGTTGGGAATACGGCCAACTGATAGTTCCCCGATAATATCGTCTCCTGGCACTGCTTTCAGGCAAGAGAGTCTTCTTACACACATTTTTACCCATTCTTCACCAGCAGCTAGACTGCCTAATAAATTGGTTTCAATGCTCAGCCTCCTACCTTAAAGGTGGGACAACTCTGAAGGATCATACTGGCTGTTGGACTTTAGCTAAAGAAACTCCTTTTCTCAAAGAAAATCATCCTTCACCACACTATAAGGGACGTCCAGGAAACTGACCTAATCCACTTACCAAGTAGAATCTCGGGGCTTGAGGTCCAACATCTTCTCAAATGCAACAGTCACAGTAATTTTAATTTTCAATAAAGAGTTGCAGTGCTTAAGGCAAAATGAAGACAGAAGAAGATCGGTTTTTCCACAAATATTAATGATAATATTTTGGAAATGGCTCATCGCTTGGATTATAAATTCTTTATCCTGAGTCTCAAATAGACAGTGAAACAACTCGAGAAATCTCGACTGTGGTGGAGGACATAGATTGTTTCCAAGTGTTTCCACCCAGTGTAGGAAATCCCATTTTATTAGCTCCAGTGACATGGTACAATTAAAAATGTTCTCCAATTGTTTTACTGTTTCTTCATTCAGAAGGCCAAACAAAAAGCATTTCATTTGCATCAAATGGGTGTCTTCATAAGCTTTGCTTTTAAGTAATTTCTTCAAGTTTTCAAAAGACTGGGAGGAATATTTCATGGTTTCCCAATTGCCTGGTAACATATAGAACATAGCTGCAAAAAACTCCTGAACATGTAGATGAGCGAATACGTAGCAATCTGAATATGCTGAATCCTTTTGAAAAATATTCATGTCCAGGAAAATTGAGATATCAGACAGTTTTAAGCCATGCTTTTTGAGATTGTCCTTGTAAAACACATAGGTCATATTCCATATTCCCATGGCAGCCAAGTGACACATGTTCTTCAGTGAGATTTGGCCAGGTAGACTAGGGCAGCTTCCATCCGCAGGAGTGAGCAAGCTACCCAAAAAGCAAGTAAATAGAGATGTGGTGGTTTGGCAGGTCAAGGTGACATTAACTCCCTTCTCCATTTTCTGCTTCAGAGCAGTACAAATGATCCTGCACACTAGGGGGACTTGGCACAGGTTCAAAAGTATTTCATTGTTTCTTATTGCGGTGAGTGCATTGATGTTCCAATCTTTGCTTGCACAAAACTGGGAAATATACTCATGCATTTCATTCTCAGGCATTCCCAGGAGATGTATAGAAACATGTGTCTTCAGCAAAGATCTTAGTTTCTTATAAGCTGTGCTTCTTGTCGTCACCAGTAAGGAGGCCTCAGGAAGCATCACCCTCCTCAACAAACTACTCATCAGGAAGGACACGGGTTGTTCCAGAGTCCTGTCATTGCTCAGTACAATTTCAGGTTCCTCAAAAGCGAAGTTCAGTTCATCGAAACTATCAACAATAAAAAGGAGATTCCTTGGCTGGAACATGATCCTTTCGATGGCACCTTCTCCGCTAGGCCAATCCTTTGATATAAGTTGAACAAAGCTCATCTCTCTTAGCTGGTTAATTTCTCTTGCATTGAGATAGAAAACATACAGAAATTTCTGCTGATAGAGATTGCCCTCTGCCCAATCTAACATTACCTTTCTCATCAGAAAGGTCTTCCCAATTCCAGCAGGCCCATGCAGCACCACTGTCACATGCTGCTTACCAGTTTGGAGCTCCACATCAAACAACTGGTTCATTAGTTCTTGGAATCTCTGAAAAATTTCACCACGGAAACTTGTATTTTCTCCAAACAAATTGTTCTGGTCCTTCATGGTGCCGAATTTTTTCTTTATTTGAATTCTATATTCTATTCCACCCTCTAAATAAGGACGTAGCAGGAAAAACAAAACAACAACAACAGTGATACACGTGATCAAAACAAATTCTTTGAATTGCATTTGAAGTTAGGAACAAGAAATAGTATAGGCTGGAATAAAAGGGAAGCCAGTTTAAATGAGTATATAGATAAAATATCTTGGTAGATTTAGAACATGCATTAGAATTATTGAAAAGCAGAACTGACCATGCAGAATGAATTTGCAATGGAAAATTTAAGTTAGATCTCTCAAAATATTTTCTCCTTTCTACCAAAAAAGAATGATATGTGTGGAGAAGAGAGTTACCAGTTTTTTTTTTTAAAGGAGCACAATTAAATATAACAAGGAAGCGCTAAGGAAGACTTGGCTCTACAGGTGAAAATAACTTACTGTACGCAAGTAAAAACTTAAGAGAGATCAATGCTGAACTGAAGTACAGCTTGAAGAGTATGTTGAAGTGGAAAATGCTTAAAAGTATCCAGAGTACAATGAAAAGACAGCTTCATTATTGCCTAGATAATTATAATTCCTCCTTTTGACCACAATTTACATATTACTCAGAACTCACCCAATACTTACCTAGCACTGCCTCCCGATCTTGCTGTGCCCCTTTGTTCTTGGTGTCCTCTGGTCCAGTGGTCTGGGCTGCAACATGAATAGAGGAAAGGCACATGGGACTTACCAAGAACAAGGGGAGTTATAGTGATGGCCAGAACAGGGAGGTCAGCATCTGCATTTCAGTGACCCATCTCTTACTGTCTGGGTTTGGGAAAACTAGAGTCAAGAGTTTCAAACTCCAGCAGCTTAGCTGCAGGACAATTGGTGTGGTTCCAACATAAATGAAATTGGAAACCTCTTCCCCTGCTCTCACACCCATAACTCTAGGGCAAATGGCCTAGTCTAAGCCTGTTTCCTTGTCTACACTTACCTCAAAGGATTGAGGTAATTGTAGCTGTATTACCATGCATATGAGTACGGCATTTTTAGGTAAGATAATCTACAATGTATCATACCAGAGAATGACTGAAAACACTGGTTTGGCTGATGTCCCTGAGTTATATTTATCCCACTCATCACATGTCAGCAAAGATGATAAATTACAATTACAATTCTAACATGTTAGCCTAACCTATGACTTTATTAATTAGAGTTGAAGGCACACCAGGTGATGGAAACATTTTTATCATCGATTTCTTTAATATCAGATTAACACAAGAAGGAGTGAGGCTGAGTAACAGTATTCAAAATCCTCATGTCCCTTCAAAGGCTCTCAAATGACCCGTCAAAGTCACTGCATGATTTACTTCCTATGTTCCATGTATAGATCATTCTCATATGATTATGAGTCACTGCATGATTTACTTCCTACGTTCCATGTATAGATCATTCTGATGAGCTCCAGGAAATAGTCCCTCCAGATCTGCCCCTAGCATCACTTACAGCTGATCTCTGCTTTGGCCTTCTTACAAAGATCCTTCAGATTCATCTTGCCAAATAGTTTGAGAGTCATACTCCAGGTCTTCTCTCCTGGATAGTGTTCTTTCATCAGGTTGGCCAGATCCTCCCTGTTGGCCTTCTTCACTTCAGTCCAAGGTACATGGTGGTGCTCAAGTTCCAAGTCCTCCTTGAGGAGTAACTTAAATCTTTTGAACTCATCTTTGTTCAACTCTTGCAAATAGAGCAGCAATCCAAAATCAGAAAAGAAAGATGAGGAGGAGGAGGAGGAGGAGGAGGAGGATGAAGCTGCCATCTGGTCCTAAGGATCAGTAGGGAAAACTAGTCATAAAAACCCAGAATAGATGAGACTTATGTAAAGTTAGAAAATAAAATACCTATGAAAATATACTCATTCAATATTTTGATGCAAGCAACTAAATAAAGCTCAATTTCCTCGTACCCTCTAATATATTTTTTATCATAAAACTATCTTTCATCTTACTTTCTCGAGATTGACTTCCAACGGCATCATTTATGAACTATAAGAAATAAAGACAGCTCTCTGAATCTCAGGATATCAGAGCTACCCTTAGAGGACCATACTGTGAATTAAATAACTGAGGTTTGTACATAACCTGGTCCAAAACAGACTCTTATTAGTACTGGTAACTTTCCTTCCCCACCAAACCAAACATGGAGCTTGATTAGAAAACTCTTCTATCCTCATATTCTTCTATCAACATATTATCATGCTTGAAGCACATGCAGTAAGAATATGCCACCCTCTATCTGTTTCAATTGCCTCATATGCATGTGACAGTTGGACATTAAGTAAGGAAGACAGAAGAAGAATAGATGCATTTGAATTGTGGTGGAGACAAATACTGAAAGTACCATGAACTAAACAATGGACACGCAATCTGTCCAAAAGGACAAAACAATGTGTCTCAGAAGAAGTACAGTCAGAGTGTCCCTGAGCGATAAAGATGGAGAGACTAAGTCTTACATACAGTGAACATGTCAGGAGAGACTTGTCCCTGGAGAAGGACATCATGCTCTGTAGAGGGGCAGCGAAAAAGAGGAAGACCCTCAAAGAGCTGGATTGAAATCGTGACTGCAACAATGGGCTCAAGCATCGAAACAATTGTTGAGGATGGTGCTGTGTTTTGTTCTATTGTGCATAAGGTCACTATGGGTCGGAACTAACCAATACCTGTTCTAGGCATGTCATACCTGCCCACAAATCCATGTGTAGTCACTGATGCTGTGCTTTTTAGCTAACAAGCTCCTCTCATGCACACACACTCTATTACATGCCAAAATTATTATGTGTTCAATGTTAAAGCCCATTGAAAACATTATTCTTTCACATCTCTGACCTCAACTCCCATGACCTTATTTATTCTAGCATTTCTCTCCGATGGCCTCACCTCAGATTTTATCAGAAACGATTCACCCTTTGTGGTAGTTACATAATTTCATGTAGGTATGTAAGAGTGTAGGGGTGGTATTCAACCTGTCGAGCAGGTTGCAGTCTGAGGGTACCTCTATAAGAGTGCAGCCTTCTCATAAGGAGAGCCCGGGGAACCTCCCCTTCTATCTCTGCCTTCACCTTCCTACTGGCTGACCCTGACTGCTGCCCTGTGCCCACCACATTCTGTATCATTGCACGTGGCTGCATGTGTCTGAAGAGGGATTTATGGCCTAGTATCAGACTTATGGACTTGAGTTGGACCGGGCTGGATGTTTGCTCCACAAATAATTACTTCTTGATATATAGCTCTCTCTTACATGTATCAATGAGTGTCACCGGATCTGTTTCTCTAGCCAACTTGGCCCTAAAACGACAAACTCCTATAACCCATTCGTCACGAATGCCGTCTATTGAGAAGTTTCATGCCTTCTCACCCATTGCTTCAATTTTCCATCAATTCCTACTTTTTTGAATGCCATGTTTTCTCATTTTATCAGCCATATTAACTCTCACTTGATAGTTTTTTATTCAGCATGAACACTTTAATCACTTAAATCACATTCTTTCCCCAAACTCCTGTTGATTCTGACTCAGCAATCCTATAAGGCAAGATAAGGAAACCCCTGTGGGTTTGCAAGAATGTGACTCTTTACAGAAGTAGAACAGCCTGTCTCTTTCTCCTATGGAGAGGCTTGTGGCTTTGAACTGTTGACCTTGAAGTTAGCAGCCCAACTCATAACGACTATGCCACCAGGACTTCTCTTCAGAAGACACACTATATGGTAAATGGAGGAGAGGGGGGTAGGGAAGGAAGCATAAAATACAGCACTGAAAATAAGGGAAAGAGATGTCTCTTTTATAGAAGAATTCTAAGTAAGTTATGTAGATATTTTCCCTCCAAGAGAAATATCCCCCACCTGTCCAGTATGGCCTGCAGTAGTGACTTGCTTCCAAAGAGGACAGTCAAGAAACCGAAGAGAGTGTCTACAGTGGAGAAATCTGGCAAACACTATCTTGGCCAGGTGATCCAAGTTTATATAATCAGGGATAAGCCAGGTTGATAGTATTTGCTCTTGATATGATGTGATGAAGATGGCTTCTTTTCTGTGGCCTTCATCCCTCAAACCTATCATCTTAATCTCACTGTGAGGAAAACAGCAAACAAGCCCAAACTAAGGAGAATTCAAACTATCTCACCAACACCCCTAAAATCTGTCAAGGTTCTTAATAAAAGAAACATCAAGGTCAGAAGATGCTAAGATGACTTGATAACAAAATGTAGTATGGCATCATGGAGGGGATCCAGGCAGAAAAAGTCATTAGGGGAAACTAGTAAAATGTAGAGGAGCTCTGGTGGCGTAGTGGGTTATGAGTTGGGCTACCAACCACAAGGTCAGCAGTTTGAAACCACCAGCTGCTTCATGGAAAGACATGAGACCTGTGTTCCCATAAAGATTTACAGTCTTGGAAACTTCATTTCTAGTCTTACTTCGTTTTCTTAGTAGTGACAAACACACCATAATATGTTGACAAGAGTGGAAACTGAGGTGAGGGTGGATGGAAATTTGGCTAATTAAAACTATTCTAAAAACAAATACTATGCTAAATTTTGGAGCTATGAAAACCCTATGGCTGAGCATAGACTTAAAAAAATCATTTTATTGAGGGCTCATACAATTCTTATCACAATCCATACATCCATCCATTGTGTCAAGCACATATGTACATTTGTTGCCATCATCATTCTCAAAACATTTGCCTTCTACTTGAGCCTTTGATACCGGCTACTCATTTTCCCCCTCCCTCCCCACTCCCCCTCCCTCATGCACCCTTCTTAATTCATACATTATTATTATTTTGTCATATGTTACACTGTCTGACGTCTCCCCTCGCCCTCTTCTCTGCTGTTCATCCCCCAGGGAGGAGGCTATAGGTAGATTCTTGTAATCCGTTCCCCCTTTCCACCCCACATTCCCTCCACCCTCCAGGCATCGCCACTCTCATCACTGGTCCTGAAGGGGTCATCTGTCTTGGTTTCCCTGTGATCCCAGTTGCTATCTGTACCAGTGTACATCCTCTGGTCTACCCGGATTGAGCATAGACTTTTTAAAGAACTATCTATATGGGATCAAATTTACCATAGCAACTTAAAAAATTAGATAGAAACACCAGAGAGCAGTCAGTTTATGTTAATAGAGGAAGGAACACTCAGAAGAAATAAGAATAGTTGCAGAACAGGAATAATGCTACTGAATGTCTATGGAGAAATTGTTGGTGTTTTACAAAGTATATTCTTAACAATAACAGAATTAAAAAGGAGACAACAGAAATGTGCATACTCCAGGAAATAGATTTAAAAATAGCCCCAGCGACATTATTCGTAAAATTCCTGAGCACTGACACAAATGTCGAACGACAGAAGTGGTTTTTACTTGGGAGACGGTCTCAGAAAGGGCAGGAGCGGATGAATGTTGATCCAGCACAAGTGGAAGGAATACCCTGGGACTGAGGAATGAACACCTGCTCTCAGACGGAAGAGACAGGGCCTGAATTCAATTAGGCTATTTGTGCCCTCTGACCGGTGGTGAGAGTAGGAACGCTTCCCTATTACAGGGATGTAAGCAAGGCAGCAATCCTGTGGAAAGCAACAAGTGGCTGTTGGAAGTGTATTTGTTTTGCACATGCGTGCTTTGGAGCGGCTCTGCGCCGATGAGTGTGGGACTGTACTGAAAAGACCCCCTTCCCTCCTGGTGCTCCTCCTAGCTCCCGCCAGCACCCACCCAGGACAGCCAGTGGCTTTCTCCTCCTCGGGGGTCCTGGCAGCCGCTTCTCTTGGGCCTCAGCCTCCAGTCCCCCTCCTGCTGTTGAAGGAAAAATGCGAATACTAGAAGGCCTCTCAAGGGATTAAACTTCCAGTTTTAAAGAGTGTTAAATAAACACTCACAGAGGATCATTCCATACCTTGAACAGGTGTCACAGTGGTCGTCAGCGACAATGACTAAATCCCAGCGCTGAGAGCCATGTCAAAAGCCAGTGGTGCTTGCTGTTCGATGAGTAGGGAGAACTCGAACTCCGGCTCTCAACCTTTACTCTTCTAAATGCTGGGTGGGCTGGGTTCATGAGCCTCCCTTTCTATTGGATGGCTGACAAGGCGGTGCTACTCCAGTTCTACAGCCCCGTGCCCACGTTCAGAAGCGCTTTACCATATGTTTCTTGTAGAAGTCATGGATTTCAAATTTGGGCGTCAAGGAGCCCAAGTACATTTAAAGAAATCTCAGACCCATTAGGATCCGAGAGGCAGGCTTTTTACAATAAACCCCACTTTCTAGTCCTCTCACCTAGGCCTGATGCCCATAGAGTGTGTGGGATGGAGAGAGTAGCCCAACAGTCAGTCTCAACATCAACATTTCTCTCCACAAGCCTCCATTGTGCTCTGGCTTAGAATACAGCAGCTAGAAGCAGAGAATAGGGAGCCCTAATGTTGTAGTGGATTATGCATTGGGCTGGTTTCTGCAAGGCCAGCCTTTAGACTCTGTCCTTTCAAGGTGCACGATATCCTTCATGGGCCACACTAGGAGGATTCAATGTGGAAACTCCACTAAGAAAACTAGGCTTACTGGACATCCCCTTACAGAAGAGTCTTAGGGAGGAGACAAGCCAGTCAGGGTGCGATGTAGCAACAATGAAACCTACAACTTTCCTCTAGTTTCGAAATGCTTCCTCTTCCCCCACTATCATGATCCCAATTCTACCTTACAAATCTGGCTAGACCAGGGGTTGTACACTGGTACAGATAGGAGCTGGAAACACAGGGAATCCAGGACGGATGATCCCTTCAA